TACAATCACTTATATAATGGAACAGTCATTACAGTCAACATTCCAAAACTATCTAAAGGAACAACTTCAGTGTGACAAGTTACAGTCTTTTAATAAGATGAATAAATTACGGTATGTCATATGGTAGAATGTATGGATTCAGGTCAAAATTCAATAGAATGTAGTTTCAAGAGTAGGGCAGCTCTACTTACATTTACTTATATTTAAGATATAGTAGATAAAAAGGAAGAGGCAGAAGTACACAGAAACTTGTACACACAGAAACATCTGTGTGTTTTTTAAGCATGCCATATACTTCTGTAATAATATCCAAATGAATATGGTATATCTCTGCAAAGATCTACAAGTATCAGCAAACTGACAGCTGCCTCTGGAGAGAAGAATGAGGCAGATAAGCAGCAAGGGGTGTAAGGAAAACTTACTTTTCATTACAATCTTATGTACCTTTTTTTGTACCATGCCATTCAAGAAAATATATACAATCTTAAAAACAAATAAAAATTGCAGATTGTCTTCTGCAGGTTAACACACTGGATATTGCTTCTTTTTTTTTTTTCCTCCTGGAGTGGCAAGGAATCTCCATAGTGTACCTAATTCCAGGAGAATAAAAGAATATGAATGAAGTACCCAAGGGCTAAGGATCTCACCCCTGCTCAGCAGCTCCTAAACTCTTTCCTCCTCTCTCTTTTCTCATTGCTCAGATCTTTTCTTCCACTCACCTGCTCCCTGCGTTCTTCAAGGTCTCTCTGTATACTTTCGATGACAGCCACAGCCTCTTCTCCGTTTTCAGGGTGATGTTCTCTGACCCAGGCTTGGAATTCTTCAGGCAGGATGGTCAGGAACTGCTCCAACACCAGCAGCTCCAGGATCTGTTCCTTGGTGTGCAGCTCGGGCCTCAGCCACTCACAGCAAAGCACCCGGAGCTGGCTCAAGGCCTCCCGGGGTCCTGAGGCCTCATGGTACTGAAAGTGACGGAACCGTTGGTAAAATGTCTCAAACGTTGGCGGATTGTACTCCTGCATCCAGGTGCAATCTTCTTCTTCTTCCACCTTTACTATTAGAAGGTCCTCTTGTTCTTGAGACGACTCAGATGGAGGGTCTAAGTCTATAACTTCCCGGAATTCTGTCATTATCATTCCAACTCAGAGGGAAGTCTCTCGAAGTTGGGCTGTGTTACTCTGACTCAATTTCTTTTCTGCCCTTTAAGCTCTTGCGAAGGTCATTTTTTAGTATTGTATAACCTACTGATATATCGAGAATCATTGTTAGCAAAGAGAGATGGCAAAGGCGTCATCCATACTAAAGAGAACCACTTATCAAAGTAACTCACTTAGAATGACAGCCATCACTCCACCCTTAAAAATGATTACAAGCAGGGCAATCCTCAAGATTTTTCTTTTAAAGGTAAAGAATAGCCATAAAAATCGGACATCAGACCCAACCGTTTTAGAGGTGAAAATACATTTCGTATAAATAAGGGGCCAAGATAAACAAGAAACTCAAGTCAGCATAAGTGGGAAGAACCATTTAAGATGATCATAACTGTCCTGTCCTCCGAGCCACGAAAGCTTGAGAGATCCAGGGGAGACCTCATTAGTCCCGTTGGAAAAACTGGGCTTATTGGTACAGATGCGGACCGGGAATTCGCAGCGTCACCCCTGACCCCAAATCAGAGAGACCCTCCCCACGGTTAGGGACAAGACCCCAGGCCGGACACAAAGCCCTAGGCCTTCCCACTCCAGTCTCCAAGGTCGGGGAACTCTCTCCTCAAAGATCAAGCACCCGGCACGCAGGCTGGGGAAGATGGAGTTCTTACAAACCCTGACAACACCGAACCCGACACTTCTCAACACTTCCTCGCCGGAAGTAAGCAAGTCCAAGACTAAGCCATAAATCCCACCCCCGAGAGCACTTCCGAGTCCTCTCTAGGAATCCCGGAGGTCCTCTCCTCACAGCGGGCGGGCGGCCGGGAGGGAGGTGTCGCCTCTAGTTCCGCCCCGACCACGCCCACAGATGGAAGTCGACCAATCATCAAGGAGATGATAGGGCGCGGGTCGGACCCCTCCTGCCCGCTTCCTCTATAGCCTGGTAGTCTAGAGGCCTGCCTAGGAGTCGTCGGTGCCCAGTCACCAGAGTGGGTCAGAAAACAAGCCTTTCTATAGTTCACCCCACACCATAGTGGCCTGCGCTCCGCTGGTTCCTGAGTGTGGGGACAGGGGGGCGGGACCTCAGCAGAAGGACAGTAATTGCAAGCGTCTGATTGGATGTCACCATTCATCACACACCGAGGCTTACTTCTAAGTAAATCTGTACATTTCTGAAAAACCACAACCCTCACTCATCTTAAACTTTGAGCCTTTCTGTTTTTTTTTCTCAGCTGAATTCTCGCCAGTCCTCAAGTTCCTTTTCCAAACACACACCTCTGACCCCTGTCAATTCCCTCGGCCGAAATCTTCAACATCACCGGCCTCAGACGCTGTCGGGACTACATCTCCCAGGAAGACCTGCGCGCGCCACACAGGATAACCAATACGGTTGCGAGCTCTCAAGAGCCTATCAGAATGCAACAAGGTTGGATAGGCGGGTCCTCGAGCGCCTTTCTGGCACGCTCAGAAAGAGAGGCGGGGCGTCTGTCAACCTCACCAGGGAGGAGCTCCTGGGAGGACATTGGTCTCTCGGGGCTACCCTGGCGCAGGAATGTTCCCATGGTAACCATCTCTCCCTGTCGGAAGATGCTCTTAAAGTTGTCCTTCTCAGTTTTCAAAGCTATTGGACAAACAGGATCAAGAGTGCCTATCGCTGCTCTTTAGGGTCTCAGAGGAGAAATTGATATGGAATTAAAGCCTCTGATAACAAATGAAAAGAGGTATTTAAAAGGTTTAAGGACATTGGGGGAGGGGGTGGGGCACCTAAAATCATACCAGATAGGATCAAGCTTCTGGTGAAAGTCTGCAGCGTTGTGTTTTGTGTTTTGGTGAGGTGACAACTTAAAATAAGAGTAAGACTGTGAGAAATGAACTGTGTAACTTGTGGGCAGGGATAAGCAGTGGATAACTGAGGGATAGCGATGAAAAAAGGGTATCAATGTCCAAAAAGGATTGCACTCTTTAATTTTTTTTGTCGAGTGAGGCCTGAACTCTGGGCCTGGGCGCTGTCCCTCAGCTCTTCGGCTTAAGGCCAGCACTCTGCCACTTGAGCCACAGCGCCACTTCCTGCTTTTTCTGCTTATGTAGTGCTGAGGAATTGAACCCAGGTGCCTCATGCATGCAGCAAGGCAAGCACTGTACCACGGAGCCACCTTCCCAGCCCCAAGGATTGTACTCTTATCTGACTTATGAAATAGTAACCCCTCAGTACAACACCTTAATGATAACAACAAAATTATATTTTAAAAAATGAGAGGAGTGTGACTGCGACTCAGAAATAGGGTTGCCTAGTGAGCTAGATGCTTTGGGTTCGATTCTCAGCACCAATAGACCGATCAAATCTTTCAAGGTTGTAGGTAGTATAGCAATTTTGCAAGGATGGCTTAACTTTGCTCCTTTGTGTTGAATTGGCTTAGTTTAATGTTTATAAAAACTCTCTTATGCCAGGTGCCGGTGGCTCACGCCTGTAATCCTAACTACTCAGGAGACTGAGATCTGTCGATCACAGTTCAAAGCCAGCCTGGGCAGGAAACTCCGTGAGACTTTTATCTCCAATAAACCACTAGAAAACCGGAAGTGGTGCTGTGGCTCAAGCAGTAGAGCACCTGCCTTGAGCTGAAGAGCACAGGTAAAGCACCCAGGCACAGAGTTCAAGCTCCACAACCGAAAAAAAATTCTCTAAGCCAATATATGTGCTACCATTTAAACAATTTACAAATGTCCTTTACATCTTAAAATTTTCATTTGAATAGCTATACATTTAAGTTCAAATTTGATGCTTATACAGAATAATTTTCCCTCCCATTCCTTATTCTGCATCTAATCATAAAGATAGTCGACTAATTTATTTTGTGTCAACCAAAATCATATATATATATATATATATATATATATGAATCGTCAGGCAAACATTTTACATGTAAATGACAGCACAGTTTATAGCTTTTCTCTACCCAACTATATTTACTTAATAAATCTTGGAGCGTGTCTATCCTTGTATAGTGTTCGCATTATCTTACTGAGTAGTGTAGCATTTGCAAATACATATTGGGCCTTGAACCCAAGGTTTTACATTCCTTCTTGCTCACACCTTAATCTCACTTTTGGAGCCTCCAAATTTTAAGACAGTAACCTCCTGCTTAAGCCATCCAATTTATGCTACTTTGTTGAGGGAGCACTAACAAGTGCTGCCTGCTTCACTTCCTCTGCCCAGGGAGGACGGAGACTAGTTGCTATGCTTGAGCTTCATTGGCAATGGTTCTCAGGAAATAGTCATTGGGCACTTTATGACTGGAGGCTTAGTGTGTCCTGTATTGTGCTAAAGAGGTGCTGTGGCACATATTAACAGTAAATAGTCTGACGTGACTTGCTGCTTTCCTGAGTGCAAAACACTGTAGGCTTTTAACTCGAGTGAATTAGGCAGCAGTTAGGGAGAAGGGGGAATGACAATAAACGAACATAGTAACCGTGGAGAGACCTCAATTTTTGAGTTTGAAACGGGCAATCATTGGTTTTATGTATCAAGTCATTATCAACTTGATGTGGGGCATGGCTTAAGTTCCTCCAGCCTCGGTTTCCTCATCTTTGTTTGCCGAGACTGCAATACGTGGTGTACAGGAAAGCACTTAAGGTTTTATTTTTCCCCCCAATCCTGAAGGTTCCCTGCATCCACACTCATTCACTTAGTCCCTTATTTTCTTGATCTGTGGCTAACTGGCCGGGGACCTGCTTCGCGGTGCTGAGGACCATAAACCACCGAGATGTGTTTCTCTTATTCCTCCCAGGCGCTTAGAGTGGTCCCGGAAGTACAAGGAACGAACCCTTCAGGGTTTGTGAGGCACTTCCGGCACGGGATTTGCATTGTGATTTGGGGGCGGGGGATTTCAGCGGAGAGCGGGTGTGGAGGCTTCAGTTTTGCCAAGATCCCATGTTTGAGGAGATTCGCCCAAGACTCCGGGGAAGTCACGCCAGTCGGAGGAAGACGGATTCGGGCTTGACCACCCAAAGTCTGTGATGGCTGCAGGGCCCGGAGTCCCCGCCTCGTCCCTCTGTGAAGGGCTGTTGGTGGTGAAAGTGGAGGAAGACTCACCCCGAGGTTTGGGATCCGAGCAGCCGGGGGCCTGGCAGCATCTCGAAACTTCTCGAAAGCAGTTCCGGCAGCTGAGGTACCAGGAGGTGGCGGGGCCCGAAGAGGCGCTGAGCCGACTCCGGGAGCTCTGTCGGCGGTGGCTGAGGCCCGAGATGCACTCGAAGGAGCAGATGGTGGAGCTGCTGGTGCTGGAGCAGTTCCTGAGCATCCTGCCCGACAATCTGCGGGCCTGGGTGTGGCAGCGCGGCCCCGAGGGCGGGGACCAGGCCGCCGCCGCAGCGCGGGCTTGCCGCCAGACCACCCTGGACCAGGCCTCGTCTCAGGTGAGGTGGGGGAAAGGTCTGCCTAGCGTGGAGCCGGCGGGGGGGGGGGGGGGGGGGGGAGGGAGGGGACAGGTGAGGGAGGCCTTGCGCTTCAGACAGCCTTCCTTCCCGGATTCTCAGGCATCTGAACTTGAGGAAGGCATGCGTTTGTCTGTGTGCCGGTCCCGGGACTTGAACTCAGGGCTGCGCGTTGCCCCTTTTTCAGTCAAGGCTGGTGCTCTACCAGTTGAGCCGTAGTTTTGCCTCTGCGCTTTTTGGGGAGTTAACTGGAAATAAGAGTCTCACAGGAAAAAAAAAAAAAAGGCTCACAGACCTTCCTGCCTGCCCTGGCTCTGAGCCTTGATCCTCATCTCTCAGCCTTCTGAGTAGCTAGGCACAAGTCACTGGCACCCAGCAAGCATTGTTCTGTGTAGTGCTGGTAGAGGCGCTAGAACTCAGCCTTAGTGCTGTCCCTTACTTATTTTCGCTCCAGGCTGGCGCTCTACTATTTAAGCCACACCTGTCCTAGCATGAATCTTTTAGGTAACAATGATTCAAGACCTTAGAATTACTGTTTTTTTTTTTTTTTTGGTCGGTCGTGGGGCTTGAACTCTGGGCCTGGGCGCTGTCCCTCAGCTCTTCAGCTCAAGGCGAGCGCTCTACCACTTGAGCTACAGCGCCACTTCCGGTTTTCTGGTGGTTTATTGGAGATAGGAGTCTCAAGGTCTCTCCTGCCCGGGCTGGCTTTGAACCGTGATCCTCAGATCTCAGCCTCCTGAGTAGCTAGGATTACAGGCGTGAGCCACCAGCGCCCGGCAGAATTACTGTTAAAATCATTTCAAGACACCCTGTTACCTGACTGGGGGAGATGTTAGGATGGGAAGCAAGCTCACATCCCTAAACCTTTGTGCTAAAAACTGCACTCTCTCACCGCTTTGAAAGTGACCATCTTTTTTGTTGTTCTTTGAGATCACCGATGCTCCACACATCGATTCTGGGTCTGTGACAAGTGGAATTTCATGGCAGAAGGGCTATGGTGGAGCAGAACTGTTCACATGGCAGCCAGGAAGTACAGCAGGGCTACAGGAAGGTGCTAGGGTAAGATACCATTTCCAAAGGTACATTCCTCTAGACAGGACCTCTTTCCTAAAACTTCCAGTAACTTCCAAAATAGCACCGCCAGCTGGGTACAAAGCTTCAACACATCCCATTTCGCATTCAAACTTAAAACTGTGAGCAACAACCCCATGGAATAAGTTTGTGACATTCATAGGAAGCTGGACGCTCTACTTTTAGGACCTTCTCTTTCTAAGAATTGTGGGTTTAATCTGAGTGATTGGTTTATGTGTTTATTATTTATTTTTGATTTATTATTTATTTTTTAATAGGGACATTTCAAAAGACTTTCAGCCATATGCTGGTGGCTCATGCCTGTAATCCTAGCTACTAAGGAGACTGAGATCTGAGGATTGTGGTTTAAAGCCAGCTCAGGTACAAGTCTGTGAGACTTATCTCCAAAAGTTAAAAGCTCAGGACAGCACCCAGGCCAAATTCAAGCATCAGGACCAGCACACACAAAAATGACTCATTGGATAATTATCTTACCGTGAAGTAGTCAAGTGAAAGAAAACATTAGCAAGCACCTGCTGTGGGTGATGTACCCTTTTCTAGACATTATGTCTCAGAAATCTGCATACACAGCATCTAAAGTTAGCACTAGAATGTGCACCTTTCTGATTTTGTGTTTTCATCTAGATCTAGTTTACATTTTGATAAATCACAGTGATTTAACTCAGTTTTATTTGGTAGTCCTAGTCCTGCTTGTGAGGCAGGTGCTATATCACCTATACCTAGCCCATTTTTTGGTTTCTCAGATAACATGTCATGTTTTCCCTATCCAGCCTGGATCACAGTCCTATTAATGCCTCTCACATAGCTGAGCTGACAGACATTTGCCATCATGCCCAACTTACTGGTTGGGGAGGGGCAAGGGCCTCATTACCTTATTGCCTAGGCTAGCTTCGAAATTCAATCCTCCCAATCTTTGCCTCCAAATGGCTGGGATTACAAGCATGAGCCACTGTACCCAGCTAGCTCAAATATTTTACTACTAAATTAGTATATACTCCAGAGAAAGTCTTTACAGGGATACAAAAGAATGTTAGCCTCTGTCTTTTTAAACTCTAGTCAGTACAAAACTCATTGGGAAAAGCCATGACTGTTTCTGGGATCCAGCCTCATGCTCAAGACTAGCAGTAGCATGTCTGTGGGGATCTTGTGTTCCAGGGGTCTATGTGTTTTGCGGATGTGGCTGTCTCTCTAACTTGGGAGGAGTGGGAGCAACTGGATGCAGCTGAGAGGAACATCTGCGGAGAGAGCACACAGGATTATGGTAGCCCTGTCCTGCCCAGTAAGTGCTGCTGTTCTGCTGGTTTATGTTGTTTGTGATGTCCGAGGGGCTGGGCTCACTCCCATCCTCAGTCTTCCACTCACAGACATGGGTCAAGACCCCTTGTATTTTTTCTGTGACTCCAGGCAGCACCTTTCTGTTCTTTTTTACAACATGACAGAGTTTTTTTTTTTGTTCATTTTTAACATTGTGTTATTTTATTTATTTTGTGCCATTACTGAGACTTGAACTCAGGGCCTTATGAAATTGCTTGGGTCCAGTCGTGGGGCTTGAACTCTGGGCCTGGGCGCTATTCCTCAGCTCTTCAGCTCAATGATAGCGCTCTACCACTTGAGCCACAGCGCCACTTCCAGCTTTTTTCTTTTTGCTTATGTGGTGCTGAGGAATCGAACCCAGGGCCTCAGGCATGCATGGCAAGCGCTCTACCACTGAGCCACCTTCCCAGCCCCTGCTTGACTTTGACTCAAAGCTGTAATCCTACCACTTGAGCCACACCTTTACTTCCAACTTTCTGCTGGTTCATTGAAGCTAAGAATCTCACGGACTTTCTGGTTGTTCAAACCAGTACACTCAGATCTGAGCCTTCTGACTAGCTAGATTATAAGCATGTGCCACCAGCACTAGGTATTTCCATTTTTGAGACAGGGTCTCTGAGGAGCCCAAGCTAACTTCAAACTTGGAGGGTATGCACCACCTGGCATTTTTTTATTTATTTAGTTATTTTTGTTGGTTGTGGGGCTTGAACTCCGGACCTGGGCACTGTCCCTCAGCTCTTCAGCTCAAGGCTGGTACTCTACTACTTTGAGTCACAGTACCACTTCCTGTTTTCTGGTGGTTCATTCAGGATAGAGTCTTCGGACCTTTCTGCCTGGGCTGGCTTTGAACTGTGATCCTCAGATCTCAGCCTCCTGAGTAGCTAAGTATTACAGGCGTGAGCCACTGGTGCCAGGTCTTATTTTTCTTTTCTTTTTCTTTTCTTTTTTTGTCAGTTGTGGGGCTTGAACCTCTGGGCTTGGGCACTGTCCCTGAGCTCTTCAGCTCAAGGCTAGCGCTCTACCACTTTAGCTACAGCACCACTTCTGGTTTTCTGACGATAAGAGTCTCAGGGACTTTCCTGCCCTGGCTGGCTTTTAACTATGATCCTCAGATCTCAGCCTCCTCAGTAGCTAGGATTACAGGCGTGAGCCACCGGCATCCCTGAGCCCTTCAGCTCAAGGTGAGTGCTCTACCACTTGAGCTAGCTAGGATTACAGGCGTGAGCCACCGGCATTCCTGAGCCCTTCAGCTCAAGGTGAGTGCTCTACCACTTGAGCCACAGAACCACTTCTGGGTTTCTGAGTGGTTTATTGGACATAAGAGTCTCATGGACTTTTCCTGCCTAGGCTGGCTTGGAACTGTGATCCTCAGATCTTAGCCTCTTGAGTAGCTAAGTATTACAGGCATGAGCCACAGCACCCGGCTATTTTTCACTATTTTATACATTAAAAAGATAAAGAAAACCTGCATATTTATGATCCAGGTTTGCCCAGTTTTAATATTTGAGCACACTGGTTTCATTATTTTATTTTCCCAAGATGCAGCTGTAGGCGTAGCCTGTGTACCTCGTTCCTTCTCCAGAGGTAACAGTATCCTGTGGTGGCATGTATCATTTCCATGCATGTCGTAGTCTAACTGTACCTGCATGTTGTCACAAAGTGTGTATAATTAATACATGATTCTCTGCATTCAACATTGCTTTTTTTCTTTTGGCAATACTGTTTTGTGCATTGTTTTCTGCCTTGTCTTTGTTATTTGGTGGTACTGGGGACTGAACTCAGGGCACTGAGCTCCCTAGGAAGCCATTCTACCACTTGACTCATATACCCCCAGTCTGGAATGCAGGTTTCATGCTTGCTAGGCTGGTGCAACATTGAGTCATGCCTCCAATTCTGTTCATTTTTTTTTTTTGGTGGGTGGAGGTTGGTTGGGCATTGAACTCAGAGCCTGGATGCTGTCCTTGAGCTTTTGCAATCAAAGCTAGTGCTCTACCACTTTAAGCCACAGCACCAGTTTTTCTAGTGGTTAACGTGAGGTAAATATTCCACAATATTTTCTTTCTTTTTTTTTTTTTTTTTTGTCGGTCATGGGGCTTGAACTCTGGGCCTGGGAGCTGTCCCTCAGCTCTTCAGCTCAAGTGAGTGCTCTACAGCGCCACTTCCGGTTTTCTGGTGGTTTATTGAAGATAGGAGTCTCACAGTCTCTCCTGCCCGGGCTGGCTTTGAACTGTGATCCTCAGATCTCAGCCTCCTGAGTAGCTAGGATTACAGGCGTGAGCCACTAGCGCCCGGCTTCCACAATATTTTCTAGCCTGGCCTGGCTTTGAACCACGATCCTCAGATCTCAGCCTCCTCAGTAGCTCAATCCTATTTTTTTGCTGGTCGTTTGCCAAGCCCATGACTAAGCTACACTCCACTTACTCTTAGGCTTCTTGTTTTTGCTGGGATCAAAGGCTTGCACTACTGTATCAGCTTCCCTCTTTTCTGTGGATATAGAATCTTGTGAACTTTTCCACCTTGATTGTGATATTCCTATTCTGAGCCTCTTAAGTATGTAGAATTACAGTCATGAGCCACTAGTATCCAGTTTTCAACACTACATTTTTGAGATTTATCCATATGGACATGTATAACTCTTTCTCTTTTTTTCTGGCAGGTCCTGGGCTTAAACTCAGGGTCTGGGCACTGTCCTTGAGCTTTTGTGCTCAAAGCTTGGCGCTCTACCACTTGAGCCACAGCTCACTTCTGGCTTTTTTTATGGTTAATTGGAGATAAGAGTTTCATAGACTTTCCTACCCAGGTTGGATTTGAATCATGATCCTCAGATCTCAGCCTACTGAATAGCTAGCATTACAGACATGAGCCACTGGCTCTCCTTTAAAACCCAAGTAACTATGACTAGTCCCAGACTCACCTAGTTGAAACTGTAAGCATCTCTGACAGGTTGGTTAAAATAATTATTTAAGGAGTTCAGTGAATAATTAGAAAGTAGTTAGGAGTGTTCTTTTGATAGCATTTGCTTCTTCCTTGCAGAGGGATGAAAGGCAGCAATTTCTATTTTAATTTTTTAGGTTTGGAAACCAGAGCTGAGAACGAGAGGTTGATTCCAAAACAAGAAAATTTAGAAGACCAACCACAGGACTGGCTACGAGAAATTGGGCCAGGGAAGGCCCTCCCATTTCCTGAGTGTAGTGACATCTGTGGGGACGGAGCACAAAAGCCCATGTCCTTGAAACTCACAAATCCTCCTAAAGAGCATGAACTCACCAACACAAAAGGGAGTTCCACACAAAAGGGAGTTTCTGGGGATAGTCTTAAAATGGAGAGGCTCACTGATGATGATGAACATGAGAACAAGCACACCTCAAGTCTGGCCAAAGGGAAGTGTCACTGGGTGAAACCTTACAACCATGCTGCCAGTGGAAGCAGTGTCTGCAGTTCTAGCCTTTCTGAGGCTCACAGGCAGTGCCGTGAAGAAAGACCTTATAAATGTGAGAGCTGTCCGAAGGCTTTCAAACAGCGCTCAGACCTCTTGAAACACCAGAGGATCCACACAGGTGAGAAACCCTATGAATGTCATGACTGTGGGAAAAGCTTCCGCCAGAGTGCCGCCCTGATTAAACACCAGAGGACACACACAGGTGAGAAGCCCTATGTGTGTCCCAAATGCGGGGAGTGCTTCCGACAGAGCTCACACCTAAACCGGCACCAGAGAACCCACATTGGCAAGAAGTACTGTCAGTGTGAGGAGTGCGGGGAGATCTGCCATGTTTCCAGCCTTTTGAAACATAAGAGACTCCATAAAGGGGAAAGACCCTACCTGTGTGAAGACTGTGAGAAAAGCTTCAAGCAGCGCTCTGACCTCTTCAAGCATCGGAGGATCCACACCGGGGAGAAGCCATACGGATGTACCATGTGTGGGAAAAGTTTCAGTCAGAGTGCAACCCTAGTTAAACATCAGCGAACTCACACAGGAGAAAAACCTTACAAATGTCTTGAATGCGGGGAGAGCTTTAGACAAAGTACACATCTTATCCGACATCAAAGGGTCCATTGAAATAAAGTGCCAGCACTTTAATATGATTCTGTGTCACCTGTGTTCATGGGAGGATTAAGCAGCCTCCCACAGACATGATGCTGTGTGTAGGTGTTTATGGATGAGTTTTGGCTCATGTGACCAATTTCCTTGTCATCTGTACTCCTACCTCTGCTTTTTTTGTTGTTGGTCATGGGGCTTGAACTCTGGGCCTGGGCACTGTCCCTCAGCTCTTCAGCTCAAGGATAGCGCCACTTGAGCCACAGCACCACTTCCAGCTTTCTAGTTGTTTACTGGAGATAAAAGAATCTCACAGACTTTCCTGCCCGGGCTGACTTTGAACTGTGATTCTCAGATCTCAGTTTCCTGAGTAGCTAGGATTACAGGTGTGAGCCACTGGCACCTGGCTCCTACCTCTGCTTTTAGAACAAATCTTGACACTCAATTACTTTGCTTTTAGAACAAATCTTGACACTCAATTACTTCACTAAGGTTTTTTTTTTTTTTTAAAACTTGTGTGTGTGTGTGTGTGTGTGTGTGCGCGCGCGTTCATGCTCATGCTCATGCACCAGCCCAAGCAGAAAAGTTTGTGAAACTCTTATCAACAACCAGCAAAAAGCTAGAAAAGCCAAGCAAGTATATGAGGGTCTGAGTTTAAGTCCCACCATTGGCGCATGCGCGCGCACGCGCGCGTGCCCGCGCACACACACACACACACACACACACACACACACACACACAGAATCAAGTGATATAGACTTTCTGTCGGGAAGTTTTTGTATGTCTGGATGTTGCTCCAGAAGGGAAACCATTGAAGCACCCTGGGAGACTGTGCTCACATGATATAGAGATAGACTACCAGAAAGGTGGGTATTATTAAAGTTCAGAAATTAAGTCAGCTTAAAATAATTTCCTGGGAACCCACCAATGCCAGTAAGAAAGTAAAAAATGAGTTTTCAAGAGACACAGTAAATGTCTTAGAAACCTAAGTCAACCATAATTTTTTTCAACTCCTTCAGGTAAAAGATGGGTGTGAGTGGAATACACATCATAAGGTTCTGAGCCCTAAAGCAAACCACTGTTCACTCTCCACAGTCCCGTCTTTGAAACCCTTAGGGCCAGGTGTATTTCCAGGCTCAGAATGTTCCCAGACTTCAGAAGGAAGACTTACATACAGTTTCTATTAAGTTTGATCCCTGATAGGTCTGGAGTTGTGTCTTCAGCCAAACAAGGACATTTCAAAGCTAACTACATAGATAAGCATGGTACATGGGAAAAATGCAAAGTTGTGGTTCCTTGTGGGGGTGAAGTCAGCCTTCACTTCCCAGTGACTTCAGCTGAGCTGTGCAGCCCAGTTAGTCCAGGGCTCATTTGGGTTTGGGGCCTGCAGGTAAGAGACTGGGGGCTGGTACAGATACGTACACAGAGCCATTACCCAGCAAAGCCATGGTCCTATGCTCTAGCATCTCATCCTGGTAGAAGTTCTGCAACCAGTCAAGGTGACTCCACTCACCTGAAGAACCTTGCCACATCTTCTGGTCTTAGTACTTCCCATTCATACAATCACCTGTGAGCTGTTACTATGCAGGTGAAGAAACAGATTTGTTGAAATCAGGGCTATAGACTAGGTGATTCAATAAATGATGGGTTTAGGACTCAGGTCAGCCATGTTTTTTTTTTCTGTGCTATTTACATCTGTTTTCTATAGAGCCACTTGGTAATGTTCTAGGTTTTTCACACCATTTGGTCTCTAAGGCAACTATTCAGTTCTGCTATTACATAAAAGCAGTCTTAGAGCACAGTAAGCAAATAGCTATAGCTGTGTTCCAAAAGAAATTTGCTACCAAGGCTCCTACTCCTATACAATACTGTCTTCACCTGTCCTGCCTAATGGAAGTCACATCATAGCTGTGAAGGGTAGGATAGGAGGAAGTTGAAGGGAGCTATGGGAATAGACACCCGGCCTCAATTTCCTCCAGGCCTCTCAGTTCTGACCCCTGTCCCTGCTCCATCCCATTGGCATAGACAATCACAGGGCAAGAGAACACGCTGATAGAAGAACACGTCTAGAAGGATAATGCAGTAGGACTTCCTATATTGCAACTCACTGTGCTCAAGTCACGGGTAGGGCACAGTGTGCCCCCCTCCTGTAGCCTTTGGAGCAGAGGCTGACATATGTCCATCACAGTCCCTTCTTGACAATACACAGTGGGGGGAGAGAACACCCTTTTTGGGTGATCACCCTAACCAACTGCCTACAATCACATAACTAAGACATATAACTAGTTCTAAGCATGAAGGGATCCTTTGCCTTTTTATAAAAATTATTTTTGTCAGTCGGGGGCTTGAACTCTGGGCTTGGGTGCTGTCGCTGGGCTAGCACTCTACCACTTGAGCCACAGTGACACTTCTGTTTTTCTGGGTTTTAATTGGATGAAAGAGTCTCACAGACTTTCCTGCCCAGGCTGGCTTTGAACTGCGATCCTCAGATCTCAACCTCCTAAGTAGGATTACAGGTATGAGCCACTGGTGCCTAGTTTAAAAGTTATTTTTTTGGTTTCTTTTTTCTTTGGTCAGTTGTGGGGCTTGAACTCTGGGCCTAGGTGCTGCCCCTCAGCGATTCAGCTCAAGCCAAGCGCTCTACCACTTGAGCTACAGTGCCACTTCTGGTTTTCTGGTGGTTTATTGGAGATAAGAGTCTCACGGACTTTCCTGCCTAGGCTGGCTTTGAACCGTGATCCTCAGATTTCAGCCTCCTAAGTAGCTAGGATTACAGGTGTGAACCACTGGCACCTAGCTTACTTTTTAAGTTAATAATTCTTTTGTGCCAGTATCAGATCTTGAGCCAGGGCCTTGAGTTTCCTTGGCTTCCTTGCTCATGTAAGCCATACCTCCAGCCTGGCTTTTTGCTGGTAAATTGGAGATGGCGTCTCCAAGAGTTGTCTGCCGTGTCTGGTTTTGAACCCCAACCCACAGATTCAGCCCCCTGAGAAGAGCTAGAATTACAGCCATTAAGACACTGGGGCCTGGTTGCTTCCCCTGCCTCCCCTTTTCTGGTCTGCATGATGTACAGACGAAAAGCACTACTTGCCCTAAAGGGAATGTAAGTTTGCTTAACCACAAAGCGAATGGAGGTTGGTAAGAGCCTCTTAACTATAAAGATCATGCACATCCTGCTGGTGCCTTAGAGGCTGCTTGGGAACCGCTGGCGAGCTGTCCCTTCCTGTGTACAATTAACTCTTCAAACTCCCATTTGACCTGATGCTCACTTCTGACTACCTAAAATGCTATTTCCCAGTAGCGTGCATCACATCTTCGCAATCACATCTGTTTTTCCCCCATAACCAAATCCAGTGTTAAATTCATCGCACTCTGGTCCTAAGCGGCTGAAAAACGAGCATCTCCCAAATACTCAAAAGGAGGTTCCACACGGGCCTCTAGGACCCTAGTACCCTGGATTCCCTGGCAGGCCCGGGGTGGGGTGGGGGTGGGGGGGGGAGTGTCACTGGGTGTTGGATCCCCAAACACTGACAACTTTCTTCACTGTCTTCTTTCCCAAAACCTTCCCGACGCCTCCAGCCATCCGCCGCCACGTCTTCTCCAGAAAGTCCTGAGCGCAGTGTTTGGAGACCGTTGGTAGTGGTAGGTTTCCTCTGGTGGCTCCCCAGCTGGTCCACAGCTCAGGTCAGCGATTCTCCACAGACCCCAGACCTCCGCCTCCAGAAAGGCCGCCTACTTCTCCACAGCCGTACGCATGCGCGCTACGCAGAGCGTGTTTCTATCGGCCGCTCTAGGATGGCGGAGGTCTAGCAACTCGCTGATCAAGAGAAGAAAGCATCCCATTCACTTGCCTCCGCTGGCCCGGACCAATCAACGATCTCAGAGCAGTTACGTAATATTCAGGCCCCTCCCCACCTGCTATTACTGAAGCAAAGCTCTGGATTTTCCCACTGGGAAGAACCAGAGAGATACCTTGGATCGTGGCAATGACTAGATTTCTCTAGATCGGGTGCAGAACCTCTATGTGCTGTCACTTCAACATAAAAATAAGAAAAATAGGTGCTTTTTCTAAATGTCATTTTGTAGGCTGGGAAAGTGGCTCAGTGGCAAGAATGCTTCCCTTGCATGCATGAGGCCCTGGGTTCAATTCCTCTGCACCACATAAACAGAAAAAACCAGAAGTGGCGCTTTAGCTCAGATGGTAGAGTGCTAGCCTTGAGCTGAAGAGCTGAGGGACAGTGCCAGGCCCGGAGTTCAAACCCCACAACCGATAAAATGTCATCTTGTGACACTTCTCTGCTTCATAATGCAATTCTTTTATTAAAAAAAAAATAGCCATAGGACAAGTTAGTAGTGGTTATAGCGATTAAATAGCTGGGTTCTTTAAGTAAATCGTGTATGTGAGAAAATTATAATAGTTGAGTCTTTATTTCTGTCCACTGATTCGGAAACTTATCTATCTGTCTATCTATCTATCTAGATATTTATTTATTGTCAGTCTCAGGGCTTGAACTCTGGGCCTGAGCGCTGTCCCTCAACTCTTCAGATCAAGGCTAGCACTCTACTACTTGAGCCATAGTCCCACTTCCGGTTTATTGGTGGTTTATTGGAGATAAGAGTCTCATAGACTTTTCCTGCCCAGGCTGGCTTTGAACCGTGATCCTCATATTTCAGCCTCCTGAGTAGCTAGGATTACAGGCGTGAGCCACCAGCACCCGGCTCGGAAATTTATTTATTTAATCATTATATTGGAAAGCTCTATATGCAGCCTACGTGTGTGTGTGCGCGCGTGCATGCTCGTGCAGGTCCTGAGGCTTGAATTCAGGGTCTGGGCAATGTCGTCCCTGTCTTTTATGCTCTTATCTCTTGTGCTACAGCCCCACTTTCGGCTTTTTGATGGTTAATTGGAGATCAGATTTAAGGGGACTTTCGCTTTGAACAGCAATTTTCTGATCTCTACCGCCTGAGTAGCTAGGATTACAATTGTTTTTGGGATTTCTTTTTTTTGGGTCCGGTCGTGGGGCCTGAACTCTGGGCCTGGGCCCTGTCCCT